CAACGTGTACCAGTATCTGAAGGGGGAGTGTCAAGAGGATGAGGCCAATCTCTTCTCCGTGTTGCCCAGCCACAGGACAAGAGGCAACGGGCAGAAACTGAACCACAGGAAGTTCCACCTAAACCTGAGGAAAAACTTCTTTCCTGTGAGGGTGACGGAGCAGTGGACCAGGTTGCCCAGAGAGGTAGTGGAGTCTCCTTCGCTGGAGATATTCAAAACCCGTCTGGATGTGATCCTGGGCAATATGCTCTAGGTGACCCTGCTTGATCAGGGAGGTTGGACTAGATGATCTCCAGAGGTCCCTTCCAACCTAAACGATTCTGTGATTCTGTGACTTCTATTTTGACAACAGGGCTTAGGGCCCTCAATCAGGGGTTCATCCCTATTTGGCTAAGCACTATAAATCAAACCCTGGACAGATATTTTGATAAATAAGCACAGAACAGCATTGGAGGAAGGGAGAACGTAAAATGTAGTCTGAAGATGATGATGATAGAGGGAGCAAACAAACGTAGAATCATAAACAGAGAGGGACCTTGTGACTTCAGACTGAATGAGAAAAGAATTTGGAAGATCTTGAAAAGTAACTTGTGATAGAGAAGAAGAAAATCTGATCCATTTTTTTTCCTCCTTTTTTTATTAGCTCCTGGAGGGGCTTGTTCTGTTTTCATGAGAAGCTTGTGTAGAACCTTGTCTTCCAGTGATTAAAGTATGTCCCTATCACAGGCACCGTACGATAGTTTACTCTATTAGCAAGTCCTCCGTGATACGTTGCTGATGTTGGAATGTCCCTGCTGCTCCTGCCGCGAGCCCTGGTGAAAGCACAGGCGCTTGAAAAGGCTCTTGGTTCTTTCAAAGCAGACAGAAGCCAAAATCCACCTATTTATAAGTACAGTTGATTGCTCAAAGTGACTAGTGTAAACATCAATGAACTAAAGACACAGCAGTATTTTCACTTCTGGCAATAGCGATACAAAAATTCTCTTCCTTTATTCAGAGATGCCCTTTACTTCCTGTCTGGGCCATTTCTGATAAGAGTTTTCTCTTATCAGAGTTTTGCGAGTTACAAAATCCATCTCTACAACGTAAAACTGGCTAAAAAATAAGACTTGGTTAGAGAGTTCATAACATAAAGCTGTCTTCAACAGGCTGAAGCTGGAAGCTTAAAACCCTTATGGGATATCCCTTAGCCTATCCCTTAGCGGGTAGGATATGATTTGGTAAAAGAAAAAAGACAAAAACCCAACAGCAAGCCAAACTTGGGAAGTAATACATAAAATTTCTACTGAGCTGCAAAATGAAAATGAGGAGGCCTACACACATTAAAGGCTCTTATAACAGTATATTAAAAGTAAATGCCAGAAATTTATCGGTTTCATGTGAAAGAGCCAGTAGAAGAGAAGCAATTGGCTGCTTTCTCTTAGCAGGATACCAGCAGTTGTATTAAGCGTTTCTCTTAAGTACTGCAGTATTTTAAAACACACGGAGAACCAAGAGCCTGGGCTGCATTTGTGTAACTCTTGAGGAATTTACTGTCTTTGTTATCTTTTGAGAAATGGGTGATTTTCCTACTAATTCCTTTAGCAGGTACTAGGATGGTTATGCAGCAGTTTTTCTAATTGCTTCCAGTTCCAGAATCCTTAGGGTATTTATTTTTGAATAAGTTTATGTGCCTGTTTTTAAAGAGAACATAGGGAAAAGGCATTCTGTTTAGTGGCTTAGTTTTTAAACTAATATGGCCAAGTCTAAAGGTGTGACCCATATGCCACTTCAGCGTCCCTCTAGCTTTCTGCAAAGTTGGTATGTTGTGATCTGGAGATGTTGCTCAAGCCCATCTCCAGTCATGAAATAAGGGACATAACATTAGGCAAATAAGTGTCCTCTGTTCATCTGCTGCTGAATAGGTAAAGGCCGGAACTGGGAGCTGCTAGTTTTGTTTCCATTTAGGAAACAAAGGAAAATGTGCAGTTAGGGACTATGAGGATTTGTTTTGATTTGTTTGATCTTGGAACGTGGGGGTTTTTTGTTGTTGCTTTTCTTTTTTCCTGAAGAGTTTAGTACAGAGAGCAAGCATACACTGACAGCTAGTAAACTCAGTTCTCTTGGCTAGGTGATGCTGCGAGGTCCCTGAGGGATGTTGCTGCGTGATAGGCGTGCCTGCTCTTTCTCCCTGTGGTCTATAGTGTAGTGCTTAATAGAGCAAAGTCAGGCAAGGACTGCAAAGAATTTAAAGTATTCTGAGCCCCAGCATTTTACTGAAGTGGGTTGGGGCGGAGAGCTACAAACTGGGCAGTCACAATAAACTGACATCTGGCCACCATTCTGAGGGAATGAATGAGTCAGAGGATAGTATGTTGTCTTTCTCTGGATCGCTTGTTTGAGTTCAGCCCAGAGCCATCATGACCAAATGTTACTGTCCTCTTGATGCCCTGCATGAAATGAGCCTAATTTCCACTGCACTGGGTCTTTGGAAGCCAAGCTCGTCCCACGGTGCTGCTGCCGAAGGCGGATTTCTCCCTGTCAGCGCAGCCTGGGAGCCAGAGAACAACTGGGGTTTTGGAAATGCTCCCGCTAAGTGCCGCGGCATCACAGGCACCGGAGGTGGCCTGATTGCCTGCGCGAGAGCAGCTCTGTGCATGACCACTTAAAGTCAACATCCTTCATCGGTACTAAATAGCTTATATTATTAGAAGAGTGTAATAGTGTTCAAACAACCAGTATTTGCTCTAGTTCTATCATCTGAAAAATCTCTAATGCATTTTTTTTCCCTAAGACTTGTATCCGCAAGATTTTGTTGTTTCCTTTGGTCTTGAACAGCTTGTATCTTTAACAAGTGGGGAAAATAGTCTGGCATATTTGGAAAAAAAATATTACCAATATTCAAAGGACTCACATATTTAATTAGTGTAAAATATACAAATGGTAACAGAAGAAGAAGAAAGCAGATTTTAAAAAATGAATTAGAAAATCTTGTCTTAAATCAAGTACTTTTTTTATAGTAGTAGTACGTTCTAAGGTTAGATGGTTATACTAAGCTGACTGTATGCAAATCACCTTTATATGTTTTACTTTGCTTCATTTTTCATAATTTCACAACTGATACATACTAATCATTGATCACTTTCCTGCAGGGAAAAAATATCATCCCCTAAGAGTTAGCTGATCTTTTTATTTGGAAGTACTGCTCACCCACTCTGGAAATGCTGACTGACTTGACACCTCAAAAAAATTCCAATCCAATATTTCGTCCGGTACCTTTATGCTAGGCTGATAGAAATTAGCCTTACATTACATTTCTTTATTTATTGTCAAAACCATATATTGCTCTTTATATAGTTTTTCTTCAGAGCAAGCTCTTTTCTGGTTAAGAGTTTGTAGTCTGCATACACTAAAAGTGAGTGTGGTGGGCAGAATTCCAGAAATGTGGGATGGGTAATTCACTGATTGCACAGAATTTCAGTACTTTATAATCCTCAGTGCTTGGGTTGGTAAGGATTTGAGGGACAGATGAGGGCAAGAGAAATAAAAGAAATCATGATCCGAGGAGTGGAGGCTGGGAGGGGACAAGTCACAAGGAATCTGTAAGCATGTAATCAGGACGCCTCTCTGAGAAAGGTTTTTGGTCGTTTCGCGTTTTGCAATGGAAAATAATAAGGTAAAAATGCATAACATTTTGGGGATTATTATAATCCTTGAATAATTCTCTCTCTTCCTGGGTTATTCTAGAACTTTTCCTGCACGTAGCTGAATATGATGGCTGGAGTTTTCCATTGCTTCAGTCAGGCCATATCCTGGTATATTTGCATGTTCTCTTGGACAGCATCGTATTGAATTGAATCCCATCCCATGGAGAAAGATGCAGAATCTGTGTCTAGGAAGCTCCTGAGGAAGTTATCTACCTGCTGGGCTATTAATAATAATAATAATGAATTATTATTAATAGTGCAGTATTAGTCCCAGTGCTGCTCCTCTTCCAGATGCGGAATAGGTTGCTGCAGTCCATGATCTCGTTTTACCTCCTCACTCTGCTGTTTGAGATCTGTAGTAAAATGAACGTACACGTAAGATTTTAGGATTGGGTGTCCAACATTTTGCTTTCATTTGTAATCAGAAGTAGAATTTGAATGGAAGTAGATTTAATAATAATAACTGTGTACTTTATAACACTGTGAACTCATTGGCTACCTGCACTTATTTCACTGTTGCTACATAGAACTTGGGCTTCAGCAAAGTCCTGCCAGGTAATCTCAACCATATTTTCCTGTGTTTTATTGCAGGCTCTGATACTTCACCAGTTAGGGCGCTACAGCTTGGCTGAGAAGATACTCCGTGATGCCGTCCAGGTGAACTCCACAGCCCACGAGGTCTGGAACGGGCTAGGGGAGGTGCTGCAGGCTCAAGGCAATGACGATGCTGCAACTGAATGCTTCCTGACAGCGCTGGAGCTGGAAGCGAGCAGTCCAGTAGTCCCTTTCACCATCATTCCTAGAGTCCTTTGAGAGAGGGTATCTCGATAAATTTATCTTGGTCTGACCTACGGGTGAGGAAACCCAGTGTATCAGACTGGCTGGTAACTGGTTAGTTTGAAAAAATTTAGAGTTGCAGGTAGCAAACTCCAGTTTCTTGCAGGAAAAGTGGCCAAAACAGTGACGTGCTGCAATATATTAATTTTAGACTGTGAGGACAAAATGGCTAACCAGAACCAAATCACTCATATCGCCTACACTTTTGCCCTGGTAGTTTTAAAACATTGTTATATTGTTCATGGATGATGTGCCATATTTTGTTAGTGATATTTGAGTGTTGCATAAAATTATAATGAAATCAACTACCAAACGTAGAATAATATATTCAAGTTAAAATTCAGTGGCAGAGCAGACTATTTTTAACAAGGCTGTTATGAAAACTGTTCTCTTCCTGCCTCTCAACCTCTTTTGGCCCAAAGTCAAAATGTGAATTTTTGCTTTCCATCTCCGTTTTAGTCCAGGCCAGAAAATCAGTTGAGTTCTTCTTTTTAGTTGTTAATAACTATGATGTGTGGCTAACTGTTATCTCTATTTAGAACAAAGGCTGAGTACAAGAATATTTATATTTTACCAATGTATGCCAGTTACAAAAATATATTAGTTATTTAAGTTTAACTTTTTTATGTGAATTCAGAGTTTATTTATCAATGGAAATATGTAAAAAGAAGCCTCAAATGGAATATTTACCGACATTCCTTATACATGACCCACACTTGGCTAAATGGGAAGATTATGTTAATAATAAAATGATTTTTAAATGGAACCTTACCTGCGTCCTGATTAAGAACCCAGAGGAAAATAGATAGCTTGTGAATACATTTTACTGATGTGGGCCTTAGGCTGGCTGGTCTTGAGAAGATGAGCAATACTGAAATTAAATACCCTGAAGCCCGGTTGGAGAACAGAAGTTGCTGTTCTCTTTGCCAGTAGTACTGTTATTTTAGATTTCAGGTTTCCTTCCATCTTCGCTTCTCCTTTTTACTCCTTCCACTCCAGCTCTCGATGAAGGCAAATTGTGTTGCCTCTACGTAATACAGGGACTTCTACATGTACGTTGCTAGCGCTTGTCTAACAGCAGTCCTTTGTTTTTTAATTTTCTTTATCTTTGCAGTTTTTTCTGAACATCTCCCTCATTTCACGTGAAAGAAAAGTTGGCTGGTAGCATATTACTGACATATCAGTAGTAGCTACAGTGCCAAGTGTTTAGCAGACAAGTATTTGCCAGAGCTGTTCTGGGGTGAGTGGATAAGTCATCCGTTGCAATGAATATTCAGGGAGCGTGAGCTAGGCTAGTCTAGAGTCTGCTCATTTTCAATATGGGGCTCATATGGAACCTGGGAGAAATTCCAAATTCCCCATTAGGCTGGGCTGTTCATTGGCACTTGCCTGATTTGTCACAAGAAGCAGTTTTAAAGTGTTTAGCACAAGATAGCAGATGATTCATGAAAATAACAGCAAATGTTTTTCTTTGTAGCTCACTGGAGAGCTTACTCACCTTAAATGCATTGTGGAGCCTCACCGAGACACAGGTTCTGCACACGTCAGCAACTGTTTTCAAATGGCAGAAGACTTAAACTTAGTAGAGCTCTTCCCTTGCACCTCTTTTTTCCCCTGGCATTTTATGTGCCTTTTAGGCTAAGGCAATTTTCAAATTGTATCTGCTTAATTCTTATACCGTATGTTCTCTGTGAAGTGGACAAAAACACTGAAATATATAGTATTTTCAAATCTGTTTTAAAACCAGTCGCAATACGGTGGTGGTCTTGCTCATTGCAAATACATCAAGTATTCCTTCCCCTTTCGAAGTGCCTCTTTTGCTTGCTTTCCTCCTACTATCCCTGGCATTTTTTTCCTCCTCTCTACTTGTCAACTGCTCTCTCTTTTCTAGTCCCACTCATAAGGCATGCTCTTACTCTATGGTACAGGGTTTAGCAAAAGGTACTGCAAAACCTTGATTGGTTTAATTCAATTCTTCCTGGACCTTTTTCTGTTGTCCCAGTTCAGTTACTGAAATGTACAGTAACCTATCAGTTGGTCTTCTTTCATGTACATGCTCTTTCAGAATATTTATTCACTTTTTATTATAACAGTGAAGGTTTTCTAACAAGGCAGTTTGCAGCTAGCTCTGAGACTAGTTGTCTTTCTGAAGAGAGTTTCAGACAAAAGTAGAGACTAGGAGAGCTCTTTAATAGCGGAATTTATCTTGGATTCTTCTCAATTAATTTAAAGTGCTGACCTCTTTTGACAAACTCCCAAAGAGGAAAGGTTAGCAGTCTAATTGTGTCATATCCGCTGTTAGCGGAGGAGTTGTCACTGTTGTTGTGCTGTTCAGGTGAACCCGAACATCCAACTCTTTCATCCTAGACTGGAATCTGTTTTGCTGTAAATCCACATGCTTCTGCCTCTTGGGAGTTGCCTTGTCAAAACTCATCCAGTTGATTTTGAAAATGTATTAATTATCACTGTAAGGCCTTACATTTAGGAGTTTTCAGGCAGAAGTAGAAAGCCTTGCAGCATGTGAATTAAAGAGCAGTGCTTGCAAAACATAGTTTTCAACTTAAAAAAAAAAATTAAGGCACTAGATTTTGTAGCTGTGAGTAAGAAGGCCAATAATATTTTAAAAAATAGTATTCACGCTAGCTGACATGCATAGAAGGATCTGTCTTTTCGCCATCTGCTCTCAGACTGCTCTGGTATCTCAGTCACCCGAAGGAAGCACACCACCCCGGTGTGAGCACCCAGCCCTGGGATCTAGTCCCCTTAGTAGCAGTAGGTCATTGTAATCTGCAGCAGGGTTGCTCCTAAGCTTTGCAGCTGACAAAATCTCTGTATGGACACAGATCTATGCATGCTCTTGCTCCCCCGGCAAGTGTCAACAATAATAGCTGTTCAGGTGAGTGATAAGGTAAACCAGGGACTGATCCAGCTGCAAACTAAGCCAACACATTGCTCCCTTGCTGCAGGACTTTACTAGGATCAGTTCTGCGATCTGATTCAGTGCACAAATACAGAAGTGCAGAAGGAAAGACAGGACTTCCTCTCTACACAGCAGCCTGTATGTATGCCAGCTTAAAATGGTTGTTAAATTGCATTATCAAACACTAACTGTATGATAATGACTTGCACAAGCTTAAGAGATCGCCAGTCTTTCAATAGGAATCAAATACATTTCTGTCTTCCCGCATAGAACGGAGTAGCAGGTTTCTTAGTGGTATTCTTGTGCTGCTCAAAACTAATAACATATGGGGTACACGCTACACTACACATGCTAAGCTGCAACAACAGAATTTATTGCACGTGATGATAAAATTTCCAAGCGTTTCGCAGTGCTTAAAACAAGGAAAAGCGTCACTGGAGTAACTTTAATTAAAGTTCATCTCCAATTTTGGTGCAGATAATCATTTTTATTCCAGGAATTATTTAGCCTGATTTTGATGTCTTTGTTTCCATGATTGATAGGAAACCACAGGAACGAGAGAGCTAGTCCAAGGAGGACCAATCCAACTGTATCTTTGCAAACTGTTGTCATTCACTGCACACACTTTAAACATCAAAGGCTATTTTTAAAAATGCTATAATTTTCTTTGAAATTATTATTTTTTCCTGAGTTGACTGTTCTCTTCTGAAATGATGGTATAAGCCTGGGTATAGTGGAGTTCCAGATTTACCTCCCTAATTCTTTGTTTGTTCAGCTGTCAGTTAAAATGATATTTTTCCTAACCATCAGCCTGGCAGTCAGCCTATCCACTAGCATCAGGTTGAATTCTTGTATGCTAACATACGCTTTCAGCAAATACGTTTTTCCAGCAGTTCATGTGTTTAACCTTATCATCCCCAAATTACATTCTTCCATCCCACTGGCATGCTACTCTGGAGTGTATTAGACTTCCGTATATATCCATGTTATCACAAAAAACCCCACTAGTTAGTTAATCCTAATCAGGGACAATAGGCAAGATAGTGTATGTTCATAGTTTGACCATTGTGACTGTCATTAGTGATTATGTGAAAAGAACAGACTTAACAGGAATCCCTTAGCCTTACAAGTCAGCAAATGGATTTGAAGAGAAGCGAAAGTGAGGTTAAATCTAATGGGAATCAGAAAGAAGTACAACCGCAAACTTGGTGGGTTGGGGGGGAGTTAGTCAGTTTATCCACTTTTCAGGGATGCGTGTTCCTGATAGCTGGTTTGCCACCGACTTGGTTACCTGGTCTTTCTAGCTCTCACTTTAAAGAGTCTGTGTAGCCCAAGTCCCTACTCTCCCTAACTATTGTTTCAATGAGAACTTAAAATATTTGGGATTTAATTCTGATTTTAAATAAAACCCTACCTTTCGATTTCTTAATCCTCTGAAAAGAAATAACTGCTTCTGCCCAACTCCTGTTACATAGGCAGTCATGGGACAAACATGCCCTGAGTATGACACTGTCATTTTTGCCCAGACGTTTTTGAAGTAGAACAGCTGCCAGATGTGGCCTTTTGCAGGCAGTCCATAGGGCATGACAGGGGCAAAAGCAAAGCTCCTGAAGATAGGAGGGAGAGTGCTTTTGGCTTTCTAAATTTGCATTCACTTCCAAAGCTTTTTTTTTTTTTTTTAAGGAACTTTTTTATTTGAAGGAACTGAGTGTAAAGACCTATTTTAGACACTAAAGGGTCAATGAAACGTTGTTGTGTTGGATTCTTTCCCTCTGTGTCTTTTACAAGAGATGCCTCCTCACCGCAGACATCACTTCAGGCGAGATTACCTCTGCCTCCTTCATCCAGATGCAAAGGGCTGCAGCCTGCTCTGTCGGGGTAGGCAGTCCTTCGCGGGCTCATGTGGCCAGCTCACGGCTCTCTTGGCTCCCTCACCTCCTCTAAAATTGCCTCCCCAAGAAAGTGGCCGGCTTCAGTATGAAATTACCCTTCTTCCTAGGGTGACTGGTCTATCTGTCGACATTTTTTTTTTCAATAAATACTGTTTGTTGATTATTAGCTCAGTGATGTGGCTTTGAAAATGACAGCAACGCCTTTCGGTTCCTTTCTATAGCCGAGTCCTGCACCCCTCAGAGCATGACCGAGCCTGGGCCCCCGCCGCTGCCCCGCTACCCCTTCTCACCACCAAAGGGGAAAGTGGGCTTGTTCGCAAGTATTTTTTTATGTAGTTGGTTCTCCACACACACACATGCTCACGTGCTACTGAAAGCAAGGTTGCAGATGCGCTTCACACCTACAGCAGAAGGTTTTGAGATGACTCAGAGCTCCTCCACGAGCTCGCTCCGGCGCTCATAACGCCGGCTCCTCTCTAAACCGACTTCGCTTGGCTCATAGGACGTTGCAGAAGCCCGATTGGGAAATTCTGACCCTAGTTGTCACCTTCAGGATATTAAATGTATATCAAATATTGTATATCAATGTATATCAAATAATAACAGACTTTGTTGTTATTAACGTAGGTTTTCCCAAGATCATTGTTTTCCAGACAGCACCAACTACTAATGCAGGACTGGAGGGGGCAACAGAGGCCATAAAACATTTCTAGCAAGTTTGCTTCCCTTTAGACTGCCTTGCAAAACTAGGCCTTTACCTGCAGTAAATCAACAATCCTCTGCCAGAAGTCTTATTTTTTATTTTTCTTCCTTTTTTTTTTTAAATTCTTCAACCACATTTAGGGTAACAGTTAAATACCTGAGTGCTAGGATTTGCCATGAAAACAGGACAATGGCTGGAATGGGATCCTTGGCTGAAACTGCAATTGAAGGGCAGGTGCTGCAGCTGAAATA